CCCTACTGAGCTAGCCAAAGAAGAAAATTCGGAAGACCCCTTGGTCATCTCTTTCCGAACCGCCAAGTTTAAAGTCACCCGCGCTCTCGTGGACAACGGAAGCTCAGCCTACATCCTCTTCTACTCAGCGCTCAAGGGAATGAAAAAGAGCGTGCAAGACCTCAACCCCTCCAACACCAGCTTGGTAGGATTCTCTAGAACCAAGGTCCGAGTCCTCGGGTCAATCACGCTCAAGGTCACTATAGGAGAAGGGGGAATCACGAAGACTAGACCGGTTGAATTCCATGTAGCGGACTGCCCCTCGGCTTACAATGCCATCCTGGGACACGGCTTCCTCGCCTCATTCTAGGCGGTCGCATCCACATGCCACCAAATGTTGAAATTCCCTAGCGGGGGACACACAGGCCGCGTCCGGGGAAATTTAAAGGAGGCTAAAGAATGCTACCAAGCCACTGTTGAAGACCTCGAAGTTGACATAGTGGATGCAAGGGGAGACATTCCGCGCCCAGAGGCGGTTGAAGGGGACATTGCGGTCTCCTTGGATGAGGAGCAACCGGAGAAGACAGTGCGCATCTCAGCGCATCTTGCCACCGAAGAGGCTCAAAAGCTACTTGCGCTCCTCAGAGAGTTTCGAGACCTCTTCGCATGGGGACCGGAGGACATGCCCAGCATCCCCCGTGCAGTCGCCGAACACTGGCTCTCCGTCAAATCCAAGGTGCGACCCATTCAACAAAGAAGGATACACTTGTCACTCGAGAAGAAAATGGCTCTAGAATAGGAAGTGTGGCGTCTACTCAAGGCCGGATTCATCCGAGAAGTACGATACCCCACCTGGCTCTCAAATCCGGTCTTCGTGCGCAAATCCGACGGTTCTTGGAGGATGTGCATAGACTTCACCAGTCTTAACGCGGCTTGCCCGAAAGACGCATATCCCCTTCCCCGCATCGATTAGCTCATTGATGGGACCGCCAACCATGAGGCGCTCAGCTTCCTAGACATGTTCTCGGGGTACCATCAAATCAAAATGGCAGAGGGCGACCAAGAGCTGACCGCATTCATGACACCCATGGGAAACTTCTACTACGTGGTCATGCCCTTCGGGTTGAAGAATGCGGGAGCGACCTACCAAAGGATGGTAGTTGCGGTCTTCAAGTAACAAATGGGAAGAAACGTGGAAGCATACGTTGACGACGTATTAGTCAAGAGCAAGAAGGCTGGCGATCACCTATCGGATCGAAGAGAAACCTTTGAAACCTTGCGAAGGAGGAACTTAAGGCTCAACCCCCTCAAGTGCGTCTTCGGGGCAAAGGCTGGAAAGTTCCTCGGATTCATGATCACTAAGAGGGGAATCGAAGCAAACCCCAAACAAATTGAGGCGGTCCTCAACTTGAAGCCCCCCAAAATAATCAAGGAGATCCAAGCGTTCAATGGCAAGATGGCCGCACTCGGGAGGTTCATTCCGCGGTCCGCCGATAAATGCTCTCCTTTCTTCCAGATGCTAAAGAAATCGGCTTCCAGGCTCCAATGGGGCGCCGAATGCGACAAGGCGTTCGCGTTGCTTACAGCCAGCTCAGCTCACTACCCGTCCTGAGCACCCCCATCCCCGGAGAGCGCCTCTATCTTTACCTAGCTGTCTCTGAACAAGCTGTAAGCTCAGCCCTGGTGAGAAGGGAGTCAGACGGCACAGACAGACCCGTCTACTACGTGATCAAGGCGCTCCGGCCCGCCAAAACAAGGTACATGCCAATTGAGAAGGCGGTCCTGGCGGTAGCTTTCGCGGCTAGTAAGCTAAGACCGTATTTCCAGGGGCACCCAATCACCGTATTGTCCAACCTCCCACTGAAAAATATCATGCGAGGAACGGACGCCTCCGGAAGGCTGACCAAGTGGGCAATCAAACTCAGTGAATATGACATCGAGTATTCCCCAAGGCCGGCCATCAAGGGGCAGGTGCTAGCAGATTTCATTGCCGAGGGGTTCTCCCTAGCAGCCACCTCCTCGACCGAACGCCATCAGGTCTGGCGCTTGTTCGTTGACGGAGCAGCAGGAAAGGCCGCCTCCGGGGCAGGGATAGTAATTTAATCTCCCCACGGAGTCTTCCATGAAATCTCGCTGAGGTTCAGGGATATCAAGACCAACAATGTCGCGGAATATGAAGCCCTCGTCAATGGGCTCAGATTAATGGCCAACATGGGCGCATCAGACGTGCACATCTTCTCCGACTCGCTCTTGGTGGTGAAGCAAGTACATGAAGCCATCGAAATCAAGGACAACACGTTGGCCATGCTCGCTAGAAAAGTCAGAAATGCCCTCACACAACAGAACTCGTGGAAGCTTGAGCATGTTAGGCGTGATGACAATCAGCATGCTGATGCGCTGTCCAAATTGGCAACAGCCCTCGACTTCGAAGGGGATCGCCATGTGACAGTCACAAAGGAGGGCGACTCCGCAGAGGAAGTCATGAGTATTGGAGACGCCTCAGACTGGAGTACCCCTCTATTCCAATACCTGGAACACGACATCGCTCCCCAACACCCAACCGAACGGAAGGCGCTCAATCGAAAGGCGGCCAGGTACACCGTCGTGAACGGCCACCTGTGCAAGAGATCGTTCTCAGGAACGTACTTAAAGTGCCTCGGTCCGGAAGAAGCAAAGTGGACCCTAAGAGCGATACATGAAGGGACGTGCACAATGCATACCGGTCCCAGATCGCTCGAAAGAACAGTCCTCCTACAGGGATACTATTGGCCAACAATCAAGAAAGACGCATCAGACGTCGTCCAAAAATGTCACGCCTGCCAGGTACACGCCTCCAAACATCACCTTCCCAGCACCGAGCTCCAAGGGGTGATTGGTCAGTGGCCGTTTGCTAGGTGGGGAATTGATCTGCTAGGACCCTTTCCTACGGCCCCGCTAGGAAAGAAGTATCTGGTGGTCGCTGTCGACTATTTCACCAAGTGGATTGAGGCAGAACCACTAGAAACAATCACGAGTGCAAGGTTCCAAAATTTCGTGTTCAACAACATCATGATTCGCTTCGGCATTCCGCAGTCGATCGTCACTGACCACGGCACACAGTTCGACTGTCGACCGTTCGGAAACTTTTGTGCGCGAAACCGCATCACGTGCACAATGGCATCAGTGGCGTACTCACAGACCAACGGACAAGCCGAAGCGTCCAACAAGCTGATAGTCCAAGGTTTGAAAAAGCACCTCCGGGACGCAAAATGAGCATGGACAACAGAGCTCCTGCACATCTTGTGGGCGCATCGCACGACCCACAAGACGGCCACGGGCGAGACCCCTTTCGCTCTCACATACGCTTCCGAGGTGGTTTCCCCAGAGGAACTGAACCTACCGTCCCTTCGTGTCCAAGCATATGATCCGGAAACCAACCACAAGAAACTGCTGGAACAGTAGGACATGCTCGAAACAAGGCGTGATACGGCTCTTGAGCGCATCATCAATGAGAAAGCAAAGGTGGCCTCTTCCTACAACAAGAGAGTGAGACCGCGAATCCTCGAGGAGGGAGACATGGTTCTCAAGCGGGATTTCCAAAAGAAGGAGGAACATGGCAAGCTCGCGGAAAATTGGGAAGGTCCCTTCCTCATCAGCGAAAAAACAGTCCTAACACTTTTCGCCTCGCGACCATGGAAGGAACACCAGTCTCAAAGACATGGAATGGCATGCACCCAAGAAAGTACTACTCTAACGCGGTTTAGAGTACGTCAAATGTATGCAAAGTTATTTTGATGGCACGGGTAACAAGCACGCCATTTGTTGAAGTGTATCGGATGCTACTATGCCTCCCTTTTTGCTCAAGTAATACACTTATGTTTTCGGCCAAAATTTGCAGTCAACTCGTGTCCCTAACGAAATTCATAAGTTGCCCAAACGACAATCTGATAATAAATGCCTTACGACAGAAGGCGCCTTTTCACTTGCAAAAAGAAAGGGGATACACTGCTTGCGAAATTCCAAGGGACTCTCTCATGGAACGCAAAGTCCGAGAAGCGATCAAGGGCGTCCTCAGACGTTCCGCGACCTTCTCCCCATAATAAACGAAAATAAGACCGCCCCAACGCGGTCTGCACAAGTCATTTTTCAACAAACCAAACACCCACTACCGTGCGGTCAAATAACATATTTAAGCAATGACATGCAGAAAATGTCTTAGCGCCCATAGCTCGCTAACATAAACCCGCTCCAACGCGGTCCCTACAAATTGTCATCACATCATCCGAGTCACAAAGATTCCCACAAAACGAGAAATGTCTTCGATGCAACAAAAGAAAGAATAACAAGGCAGCAAATATTCAAAAGCGGCCTTAAACAACCGGAGAACCTCCACTGGCAGCGTTGCCATCTTCAACTTCCTCATCGCCCCCCACTTCATCCTCCGCCGAGTCGTCAGCCTCTGAGTTCACGTCGGACGACGACTAATGCCCGATTGCATCCCAAACACGGTCAGCGTCCATGCCACATCCGGACACTCTTCGCGGATCAAATGGCGGATGGCGGCCACTACATTACCCACGACTTCCTTGTACTTCGCCTTGTCATAAGCTAGGAATTCAGCAGACTTCAAGTAAGCAGGACCAGCCGCCTCGCGGTCCTCTAGCAAAGACGCCTTCTCCAACTTGAGCACGTCCACCTCTTTCCGCAGCGCATCTTGCTCCTCAAGCGAAGTCTTCTCAATCGCACGAGACTTTTGCAGCATACCTTCAAGGCGACCCTTCTCCGCACAAGCCGCCTTAACCGCCTCCTTCTCTTCTGCCTGTTCCTGGTCCTTCCGCGCCAGCTATTCTGTGAAACTCTTCTCAATCTGCGGTCGCAGTTCCTCTATCATCGCTCCCCGCCCATCACTCAAACTCTTCTTCAGATTCGCAAACTCAACCGCATTGTCGTCCACGGTCTTAGACAAGCGGTCGTTCATCAGGATGATTTGCGAAAACCCGATCTGAGCATGCAAACAAAAGATAAGTCAGTTCGCGAAGCCTCTACACTCGCAAAATAAAGAAATCGCAACCACTAACCCCAAAGAAGAACCGGGGTGCGGTCCCCGCGAGATGACGGTTGCTCACCGACGAAGTAGCTGTGTACTCGTTAGGCATCGCAAGTTGCTCGCTGATAGTATGGAATGCCAACTCAGCCGCCTCCGTATCGGTGGCGGCCAGAGGGGAGACAGCCACGGAACCAGACTTGGTTGACCGCTTCGGAGCAGGGTCGTGCTTCTCCCCAGCCTTGACGCGGGGTGAGCTAACCTTCGCGCGCTTTGAGGCCGCTTCAGGAACCCCGCGTTCCATCAACCTCCTTCCCGCACCCCGAGCAACGGGAACGGAGGACGCGCCAGCCGCCCTGGATGGCCTAGCAGGAGACTAATTTTGCGGAGCGGCCGACAGATTGATCGTTGTAGCCGCGGCCGACGGGGATGCGTCTCCCGTCCGCACAGTCCTCCCGGCCTTCTTCTTCCTCGGCTTGTTGGCATCCACCAGCTCCTTCAGCCCTAGAGAAAGAAAGCATAAGTAAAAACGCATGAGAAGGATAAAGCACGAAATTCCAAATATACACTACTGACCATAAAAACCGCGAACGAGTTGGTATGCACTGTTAGAACCCACTGTTAGAACCGCTATGCTGCACACGAAGCTGGACTCCCTCCACTATTCGTGCCACGTGGTCTCGCACCGATTGAGGGAATTGGCTACTCTCACACCAGTCATCCTTGGACCCCATCGCATAACCAGTAGGCGGCTCCACATCGCCCGCATACCATTTCCAAGAAGGGTGGGCAAAAAAGTACTCCTTGTACCACGGGGAATCTAGCTTGGGTGCCCCGGGGACAAACCCAACTGAATTCTCCCGCCTCCCAATCGACCAACAGTTAGATGAATCTCTGATGTTGTAAATCATCATAAATGCATCAAACGAGGGATCCTCCTTAAAGCGGTCGCATGCCAAGCGGTACATAACTGAGTGAAAGACGATTATCGGTGAGAGGCGTCCCAGAGTGCATTGCAGTCGATGTAAAATCCTGGTCAGAAGGTCATCAAGGGGAAACCGTAACCCAAGCTTAACATGTTCAACCAGGATCGGTATCCAACCGCTAGGACATGATCCGATTAGGCTCCTCGCAGAAGGGACCGCATAGAGCCAGTCGGAAGGCATGCGCAGCGACTTTAGCCGGTATAACACCTGTTCAGGCTTAAAGGCCGCCACGTGAGGAGGACCCTGCTCGAAAACCTCCTCGGGAATGGACGCCCCATCCCACATACCCGCATGACGGAGGACGGTATACACGGAGTCCCTGATAGCAATCGGAAGCGGTCTCGGCTCTCCGCTCTCAGAAATCTCTATAGAGGAGGAAGTGCACAGATGCGCCCCAGACCGCACTTCACCACTATCGACCTCCTCCGAATCTTCCAAGGAGATGCTATCTAAGTCTACCCGCTCAAATTCACTCAGATTATCCCCAACCGCTGACGAGGAGGTCACAACCCCAACTAGTACAGGGTGGAGGTTAGCACAAGAGTTATCTAAGTCTACCAAAGCCACGACAAGGCAATCTCTCAATTCAGATCCATCTCCAACATATAACTCTAACTCGGATAAATCCCACACGCACTCAGACACGCTTCGAACGGAGGAAGAATGGTTCGTACCTTGTATACCAGGAGCGGTCTCCGCGATTTTCTTCCCGACGGCCCGAGAAGGCAGAAGTTGAAGGGTTCTTCCCCGACGCTCCCACCGGTCCAAGATCAGCGGCCGGAGCGCTCCCCACGACCGGAGCATCATGGCCCGCTCCGCTGATCGGAGAAGGAGGGTTTTCGCCCGACATCTTTGACGGCGAGACCAGCCACAATCGGCGATTCACCAACAACCCAAAACAACAACACCCACAAAAGCAATGCGCAAGTTAGCAAAACCGAGGAATTCACACGCCCAAAACTGAAAAACCAGACCAGAAACTCACCAGGAGGATCGAATATATAGGCGACAGAAATCGAAAACCTCAGAGCCTTTCGCAGAAAAGAGAGGAAAAAGACGAAGAGTTTTCCTAAATCGGAGGAAGGAGGCGAGAGGATTTCCCTCCAAATCCTACTTAAAGGCGAAAAAGGAAAGAAGGACGCCCCGACAAGAAGTTTTTCACGGAGCCCGAGAGCGGAACACCCCCAGAGATGACGTTCCGTCTACCGGTGTCAGGGCTCTACGCCCGATACACGACACGTGGCAATGGCTGAAAAGAGAACCGAGGCGGCTCTCACCCCTTAGAAGCACACGTGGCTAGGGGCAACAGGAGAGTCGTATGCCATGCGGCCCTTGGCCGCCCAAAAGGAGCACTATGACCCAGGCGGCCCAGAACCACTCAACATTGGTGAAGGACATCATTTAGCCACGAAAACCTGTCGCTTCCCACGCCTAAGGGGCAAATGTTGGGCTAAATGTTGAGACACTTGGGCTCCGGGCCCATAGTCACCTAAACCCATAAAGAAGCGAGTTGGGCCTGAACAGGGGCAATGAGCCACAAAGCGGGTTCCAGGCGGTCTTTCCCTACTAACACGACAAAGACCTCCCGACACGGATGAAAGACCGCCCGACATAACGGCAAACGGATACCTGTCCCTCCTAGTATGGAGACTGACAAAAGTACGTTCTGACGATAAAGTCGGAGGCGCCCAGGGGCGCCCAACAAGTCATTAAATGCTCACAATCTAATTACAACTAGTATAAATACCCATAGAAGGGCTACATTGATGGTAACTTCTACCTACTCCATTCTCTCTCCTATTTAATATTCCCTCACTTCTCTCTCTAACTTAGGCATCGGAGGAGGTCCCAAGTTCCACCTGAGGACCTTTCTTTGCAGGATTTCGGAGACCGCCCTCCTCCGTCATAGCCGCCCGAGGTCAGTAAGGTCTCACATACTGCCTGGTACCTCCGAGGCACAAACAGTTGTAAACAGTATCCTTTGAGACAAAAAGAAAAGTCAGGTGGGGTAGTGGGTTAGGCCGGTATGTGGAAAAAGATACTAACAATTAACCGATAAAACTTATCGATTCTGTTATCGGTATAAGTTTTCTACTTATTGATTAACCCTAACTGTCATATCCGTTAGTGGTTAACCGACACGGAAACAATTACCACCCTACTACTTACTGTGGTTTTAAGGCTCACACAGTCCCACTTCAAAAAGACTAGTCTATATAAAGTAATCAGAATGATTTAGTTGACAACTTGACAACCTAGCAAAAAACATGGCACTTTATGATCTGATTATGTTTTAGGTGATTGTTGATAACATTTAATTTTTTTTTTTTAAATTACATCTAATTGCATTTAACAATTCTGTTGAAATTATAGGAGTATCTCATCTCAGCATACATTGACTGCTTTGCCTAGCATCAGCACAATAGCCAAAAAATGGCTGCAAAGAGCCAAAACAGGCGTTACTATCACCAAATTCACAATCTCTCTACCGTCGTTCCACAGCCTCAAGCAATGCGAGCTGGAGCACGACCTTTGGCACCTTCCAAAGGTTCAACCTTTCCCCCTCCTTCCCACCGCCTCACGCCCTCATCCAAAGGCCGCCCTTCCCTTCCTTCTTCTCTACAAAACCTCTTCCTTCCACTCCCCTCAAGAAACAAAATCCTCCCCTGTTTCTCTGATCTTGAATCCTCTGCCACCTGACGAAAAATTCCCACCATGTCATCATTTTCCCCCAAGTTCCTCACCCCACCGCTGCCCAGATGCCGCGCCTCCGCCAGGAAGAAGCCCACCAGGCTCTTCACGGCCGTCAGCCCGCCTGCCACGGCCGCGCCGGCGGAGATGGAAGCGGCGAGGCTGGAGCCGAGGGTGGAAGAAAGAGCAGGGTATTGGGTACTGAAGGAGAAGTTTCGACAGGGGATTAACCCACAGGAGAAAGTGAAGCTGGAGAAAGAACCCATGAAGCTTGTCACCGAGAATGGGATTGCAGAGCTCGCCAAGTTGACCATGGAGGACATTGACAGTAACAAGCTGAACAAAGACGATGTTGATGTTCGACTCAAATGGCTCGGCCTCTTCCATAGAAGGAAGCATCAGTGTGAGTTTCTCTTTGCTAAGCCCCACTCTCTGGATTGATCTCTGTTCTTCCGAGTTTTTGGGTTTGATAGGCTGCCTTCTGAGAATCGATCCAATAGTGACAAGCTCATATGAGAATTGGGTTTTGCTTCATTCTAGTGCTCACCCAATCATAATTATCTGAATCTTTCCATCAATCGATTGAATTGTCCGGATTATAGGGTGTGTGGAAAACAGAGCAATGCTGTTCTGTGTGTGAATTAGGATAAACAGAAACTTGTTCTAGCTGTCCATAAATTATTGTTAAGTAATGTGGTTGTAATTGGATATGGTCCAGTTTGGAATTGAAATGTTTCATCTTCTTATCCCTCAAAATCAGATGGCCGATTCATGATGAGACTAAAGCTGCCGAATGGGGTGACGACGAGCGAGCAGACAAGGTACCTGGCGAGCGTGATCAGAAAGTACGGCAAAGAAGGCTGCGCCGACGTGACCACAAGGCAGAACTGGCAGATTCGCGGCGTTGTACTGCCGGATGTGCCGGAGATACTCCAAGGCCTGGCCGGAGTTGGGTTGACGAGCTTACAGAGTGGGATGGACAATGTCAGGAACCCAGTCGGCAATCCGCTCGCCGGAATCGACCCAGATGAGATCGTCGACACCAGGGCCTACACCAACCTGCTGTCTCAGTTCATCACCGCCAATTCCGCCGGCAATCTTGCCCTCACTAATTTGTTAGTTTCCCGGTCATGCCAACTAACGACTTCATCCTCATAATCGGGGGAAAAAAAATTTGGTTTTGACTTTTTGTTTTTGTTTCTTTTCCAGGCCAAGGAAGTGGAATGTATGTGTTGTGGGTTCTCATGATCTGTATGAACATCCACACATCAACGATCTAGCTTACATGCCGGCTACCAAAGATGGAAGATTTGGATTCAATTTACTAGTGGGTGGATTCTTTAGTCCCAAGAGGTGCGAGGAAGCGATTCCTCTTGATGCTTGGGTGTCAGGGGACGATGTCATTCCGCTATGTAAAGCCGTGTTGGAAGCATTCAGGGATCTGGGGACTCGAGGAAACCGACAGAAGACGAGGATGATGTGGCTGATCGACGAACTCGTAAGTTCGTATCTATTCATCCCAATAAATCGAGTTGCATATTGAAACAGGATCGAAATTTGTGTCAAGTGTGTGGCTGACATTTGCTAAAATCATCTTTGGGATGCAGGGAATTGAAGGATTCAGGGCAGAGGTGGAGAAAAGAATGCCAAATCAAGAGTTGGAGCAATCATCTCCAGAGGAGCTGGTCGAGAAGAAGTGGGAGAGAAGAGATTACTTGGGAGTCCATCCACAGAAGCAACAAGGTCTAAGCTACATAGGTCTTCACATCCCAGTAGGAAGACTCCAAGCTGATGAGATGGACAGCCTAGCTCGGCTGGCTGACGAATACGGCACCGGTGAGCTCCGCCTCACGGTGGAGCAAAATATCGTCATACCGAACATCGAGAACTCGAAGATTGAGTCCTTGCTGAAAGAGCCTTTACTGACTGAGAGGTTTTCCCCCGAGCCCCCAATCCTGATGAAAGGGCTGGTGGCATGCACGGGGAGCCAGTTTTGCGGGCAGGGGATCATCGAGACGAAGGCGAGAGCGTTGAAGGTGACAGAAGAGGTGGGGAGGCTCGTGTCGGTGGACCGACCGGTGAGGATGCACTGGACCGGGTGCCCCAACACTTGCGGGCAGGTTCAGGTTGCGGATATCGGATTCATGGGGTGCATGGCTCGGGATGAGAACGGGAAGACCTGTGAAGGTGCGGATGTTTACTTGGGTGGCAAGATTGGGAGCGATTCGCATTTGGGGGAAATTTACAAGAAGAGTGTGCCTTGCAAGGATTTGGTGCCGGTTGTTGTGAACATTTTGGTTGAGAAATTTGGTGGGGTTCTTAGGGAGAGGGAGGAAGCCGAAGATTAGAGGTGAGACATATATTTGGTAACTACTAATTGGATTGCGAGAACGTTTGTTTATGTATACACGAAATAAAGCTAATTCAAATTCCTTGAACGATTTAAGCTACGAAGGCAGGAAACTGTGCTTTTTAGCTTATGCTCTAGAGCACCCCTTCTTGGATTTCATGTGAAATGTTATCATTCTATTCTATATATGTTTAGGAGGAAGAGATTTGGGGGAGGGATTCAGGGCGACGGCGCGGTAGCCTCCATCCCTCCTTCTTCGACGATTTGATTTTCGAACAGTTGGGTGAGGAGAGACGCGGGAGGATGAGAAAACGATGGAGGAAGGGAAAGTGACCTACCCTTTCCTGTTTCGATTTACTTTTCAGGGGGGTCGGGTCTCGGGTTTGGGGTTGGTTCAATTATTGGTTTGGTTCGCGGGTTGGGCAAGTAGGGCTGACATGGCGGGTAAATATGACGTGGCGGGTCGGGTCATCGTTTTTTAGTGTTAAAATATGATGATTGTGATTTTTTGTTAGCCACGTCATCACTTAACGGTCGTCATTAACGGAGTCTAATGGAGGTTAACGGAGAGTGACCGAACTTAGAATGTTTAACTAATTTAAGTGACTATAAATGGAATAAATCAATTTGAGTGGCAAACGTGAAATTTTGTAACAATTTGAGTGACCAAACTTGCAATTAAGTCCATTTTGTTGCATTGCGTTTCAAAGATGTGAACCTTTCAAATTACATTGTGTTCTTACTCTACTTTAGACAACTACTTTCACGTAACTGAGGTTGTCCCTTACTTACTCCTCTGCAAATGAAATGGAATTAAATGGATTTGTGAACTCATTAATTGGATCTAAGTGACGTGTGATATCGTTAATATATGAGTTGTCGATTTCTTATTTTGTTAGATCCCACCTTGTATCGAAGCATTTACCTGAATTAATGGGCGACAAGGACCCTTCGGATTTCTCCCTTGAGGCGTCATATCGTTCGATCGAATGACGGTCGATCAAGTAGAACCGTTATTTCCAGTCTCATCCTAAACGACTGGGATCTTAGATTCTTGCACCTCAAAGGAGTGCAGGTTCGTCGTAAGCTCTCATTCGAATATAATCGACAAATAACGAAATAGAGGAAATCAAACATCACACAATGAAAGAAACACAATTGTATTAAACTAAACCATCGAGTTTATATGGTTAGAACTTAGGTAACCAGTTTGTGGAGCGAGAACGTCTATTTTTCAAAAACTCATCATTGATTATGAGACTTTAAATATAACAATTACACTACTTTATGTTCTTAACTAAATTCAAATAAATAATAGAAAAGTGAGATTTACTAAATTAACATAGTCTAATTAGCCTAACTTTTTTCAAACATATAGTTTAATTTCATGGTTTGGGAGTGGGACTCCAAATAATAAAAAACTATAAATTCTTCTCTCTCTTGGGAAATAGCGCAAACACCAGCCATTTATTTCTTATCCATTAGCCTTATTTCAGTAAGAGATTAACTTTCCGGCCATGCTCCTTTCTTCCAAGTTCCAACCAACGACCATGCACCAAAATTTTCTTCCCCTACTTCCAATCGTTGGTTGACTACTCAACTCAGCTTATGGATATATCTCATCTGCCATTTTTTTCTTGTTCTCTTCCTTTAATTCGGGAGTGGGAGAATTGATCGACGCAAGTAATCTCTTCCTCAACGGCTACTTAATCACTCAGTGCTGGCCAAGAGAGATATATCATCAATAGCGTCAACGTTCAGCGGCAGCGAGATGCACCTTTCTTCGACTTCCTCGGAGTCCCATCCACCCTCGTTTTATCCTATACTTTTATGAACCTTTTTATTCTCGATTTTTGGTTCAATTGATGTTGATGTAGATATTGGATCCGAGGTTGCACTCTGTAATTTGTTGTTGCATGCAAGGGAGCTGCCTATGGAATTTGACAAAACTAGAAGTTGCGTCGTGGGGTGATGAGGCCAGGGCTGGCGACGAAATCCATTATTTCGGTGGCGATGGAGCCCCTGCAAGATCAACGTTAATCATCTGGATTCGAGGAGAAATAGCGCTCCCAAAATTATAAATCGCGCTCTCGCGGAAAGTGATTCACGAATTATCTGTGAATTCCCATAAAATCGAGCTTTGTAGTTCTGGAGCGGGAACGTACGTGGACATTGTAGTGGCGACTTGGGTAACCTAAATTAGAATCCCTAGAGTTCACGTACCTACACAACTAAGGGTTGTTTGGATTAGGAAATGTAGTGGAGATTTTAAAACAATCTCTCAATATGCAGGATTTTAAAACAATTTCACATTGGAATAGATGAGAGTTTTTGCGATTATAAATTGTAAATTCTCTCGAAAGTGGGTTTGTGAAATAGCTTATAGTCATCAGCTATTTGATAATCCCTCATTATTTTTAGTTCTTTTTCGTAACTATCTCTTCCCTTTCCGTCTCATCCATCTCTTACCCACTCATCTTCCTCTAGCGAATCCGACTCTCCTTTGTTTGTTCCCAATCCCCAAATCCAATCACCGTAACCTCCCGTCCCTTTGTCCCTTCCCAAACCCTTCGCCCCTTTCTATAGAATTTGATAATGCGGAAGAAAAAGAACACGAAGTAACGATTTTTACGTGGTATCCTTGTTCGATGTGAACATGACTAATTGATGACTTGATATATACACATTTTTGTGTCCACCATTCCTATAATGTTTGCTCATCTCTTGTGTTTTAGGCTAATTTCACGCTAGGTTGTTCTTGTTTGAGATATTTCAGGTCCTAGTACGTGAATGAAGGTTTGGGAACGAGTTTGGGGTCGATTGGACGAAGTTGGGACGTTTGACGAAAAGCTGGAAATTCCACATGGGCAGACCTAAAATCCACACGGTCGTCTAACTTGGCCGTGTGGAACACCTTTGCACGGCCAAGCCACACTGGCCGTGTAAAGGGTCCTTTTTGGCCGTGTGGAATTCCCAGGGAGTTCACACAGCCAGACCTAAATTCCACACGGTCGTGTGGTTTTGGACGTGTAGCGTACCTGGAGTCACTAAATCGAACGCGGCGTTTTAGAGAGTCACACGGGCATACCTAAATTTCACACGGCCGTGTGGCCTGGCTGTGTGATCGAGCAGAACTGGATTTTTAACCCAATTTCGGGTCTTTGTAGGGGGAATCGATTTTTAGAGCTAGAAACAGAGTCCTAGAGAGAGAAAGTGCAAAGAACACACCCTAAAGGTGATTTTGGAGCTGGGTTTTGGTTCCCAAACACCCAAGGAACGAACCCTAAAGAGAGAGAGCGACTTGGGAACATTCTTGGAGCTATTTTGGAGGATTTCTTTGCCATTGGAGCTCAGGAATCAAACTTGGAGATGGAGATTGAAGAGCTAGATCAGATTTCTGCAGTCTCTCTCTTCTCTATGGAGTAACTTCCCTTCACTTAGGTTTCGAGGAACCCTAGTTCCATGTGTTAGGATCTTTCTTGTATGAAGTTTTGGATGCTATATTGTTTGATTATAATCGATTGAGGCATGATTTATAGAGTCAATTGAAGCCTGATCATCTTCTCTTGATTTCTGCTTTAACCTATGATAGATAGAATCTGATTAGGTTAAGAGAGCTTCATGGATTGATAGTGGTGAATTGGTTGTGCAAGAGTCAATCAATTCACTGCTTTGTACTGGAATTCATTCCAGTAGTGGAGATCTGTGTGAATCGCCTTAGCAGTCTATCCCGGTGAAGGCTAGTCAACTTGCCGGGTATTCTGTCTAAGAGGGCTTGGTCAGCTTAAGGGATTCCAAGATAATTTAGGATCTTCCACAGTTTAATCAACAGTAGATCAACCAAAGGTAATTGCAACTTGGACCTAATTGAGGAGCTAGGGGGAATCATACCTAAGTGAGTTCCCTACTTATAATTAGTAGAGTAGTTAATAGAGTAATTTAGTAAATCAATCCTTAATCTAGTTTGCTAGATAATGAACTGAAGCTGAGTAATAGTAACTCTAGAGACCCATGGATTCGATATTTATTACTTGTGACACTATATTGCAGTCCCTTTCATTGGTTAGACTTGGCCATTGTTAGGTGTTGTGTTTTAGCGTGTCACTAATCCACGGCGAGCTCTGAAGAGCTCACGGCTGATCTCTTATTAGGTTTACATTTTGACGGCTTGCTTACGACAAGTTCGTAGCTAAGTCTTATATAGAGATATACTAGGGTTAAAACCCTAATGAGAAGAGTCGAGTACGGCCAAGTATCTGTACCTGCTACAACTCGGACAAGGCCCAATACTAACACGGTTTAAGTAACCGCAACACTTTCAACTCTCGAAGCCTTCCTCATCTGGGTGAAGGTTGAGATTTCTAGGAATCAAGCAGATACCTTGTTTCGGCGCCGGATATGGATTTTTTATATGCTTGGAGCAGCGACGGCGACACCTGCTTCCACTTTCTGGTGGTGGAATCAATCACTGATGGATGGGAGAGAGAAGTGCATGAACTGGGATGAATCAATTCTGGAGATTTGGTTTCTTGTTTTGACAATTTGGGTTGTAAGATTATGGGTTCTTGTTGGTTGATTTGGGTTGCAGATGCTATCCTCATCTCTTCCACTTCTTCTCTCCTCTCCGCATCTACCGCCAGTGTCCTCACGATTCCTCCCATCCTCATCGACAAACCCTGAATCCCGAGTCATCGCCAAATCGTTGACGACCCCCAAACCATTGAGGGCGCTGACTATAACTAACGAGTGACGACGCTGTCCAATTTCAGGGCTTAGGAGGAAGATATCTAGAGCCTAGCGGAAGAAGATGATGAGAGAGAGAGAGAGAGAGAGAGAGAGAGAGGGGGGGAGAGAGATGGTCCAGGTTGGAAGATATCGAGAGGAAGAAGATGGAAGTGAGGGAGCAGGTCCAGGTCCGTTGACATCAGTGGCTTGTTGCGGCTTGGTTTTGCCGAAAATAGAAAGCAAGGTAAGAAGCAAGGTTCTGGGTTGGGCACTGTTCTTCGTTGATTTTCATTGTTCTCTTGGCACCAGCCACAGTTCTTTGGTCGGACAAAGGGTCTAAGAGGAGTACAGTAATGTAATTTTGAGTTCAATATTAAAATTCTGTGTCACAATCCAAACGAGTTATTTTAGCTAAATCCTACACATAAATTCTCTGGTATTTTAAACGAGAGATTTTTACCCAAATCCCTCGCTATTAAAATATCTCATCCAAACGACCCCTAAGGAACTTTAGCCAACCATTGGGAGGGATTTCTAGGTGTTCATCGATTGAAATGAAGACACTAGAACGCCCACTGGAAATGTCACATGTGATAAAGAAAACATGCCTAGGGCATCGTTCCTCCCATGAAGGTTGGACTGCTCAAAGTCAATAGGGTTACCTTGTCGTTAGAGTAACGACCCTACATTGACCTCTCATCTCCTTCTTTCTATTTCTTATCTCTATGGACCTATTTATAGGTGATAACACCTAAATAGGTGTTATTTAGCCTTCATTTATTAGGTGTTTTATTAGACCGAGATAACATTCCAACTCTCATGGAGCACATGGCAAGAAATAGAAGGATTCATGATCGACAAGGACATCACGCATTAAGGAACCATTCGATTGAGCATTTGTGGTCAAGACATGGAGGAGAGTAGTAGTGTGATATGTCAATTTATTTCCCTACGTATTACCCTATTTTTCCCTATGTACTCCCTATATTTTCCCTATAAATAAAAAAGTAGTTCCCCCACTAATTGAGAAATACAATTGAAAACAAGCGTACATAAACCACAAAATACTTAACATATAACATTAAGCAATACAATTAAAATAAAACAATACTTCTACCAAAAAAAACAACACACTTGACATAAAGCAACGCACTCAAATGATTACAGGTCGGGGCCAAAATAAGAGTCATCATTTGGAGCAACTTCATATGAAGTCACAATATCATCTTTTTTTCCTTTGATACCAAGCTCTAGTCTGAGGACTGTATTGAGAAAGATCCATACTCATAATCATCATCTCATGTCTCCCTTGCTATGTTTTGTGCCTTCCTCTGTCTGTCTCTTGCATCCAATACAAGTTCGCGCTCCTCCCTAGCAAGTGTTAACCTTGCATACGTGTTTGAATTGTCCATCAATATTTTTCCAACGTTCTCCTAACTTTCTGAGGAAAAATAAGGAGTTCTTCTTCTTCTTCTTCTTCTTATTATTATTATTATTATTATTATTATTATTATTATTATTATTATTATTATTATTATTATGCTTATCTCGGCCTTCATGACAATTGATCACAAAAGGATTCCCACTTGCTTGAACGTCGGGGTTATTAGTATCACCACATGCCATGGACGATATGTAGATCCATCCATTGGTGGAATGGGTGCTACAGTGGTATAAAATTGATGCATAAGCTTTCGAGAATGTTGGAGTATATCCCAACAATGATGCAAAAAATCATTTCTAGTGTCCGCTACGAAAAGGTTTTTTTCTCGTACAACCTAAAAATTGACCAAGTATATATTATTAAGTGTAAACTACATGCATAAATTGGAAATGAAAAGCATGATAATAAATATAAGAACTTGTTTACTAACCACATTACTTGGGTTTTCTACGCTCATTGGTGTCACTTTCGCTCTCCTTGACGCTGCATTCCACGACCCACATTGGTGAACGATGGTCTTCCATAAAAAATGTAAGCCCACATTAGTACTTGAAACCCCACATCCCTTAGAGGCAAATACTCTCCCACTCCCCTCCAAAATTCAATTATGATTTGATGATGACTAACAACACCATCTTCCACAATATCCAAGCATTGCACAAAACTTCATATTCACTTTTCTTCCAATTTGGAGGGCGATTAGGTTGAGACATGATGAAGAACATGTGAAAAAGATGGAGAGAAAGATTTGGAATGGTGAGTGAAGTAGTAGTGAAGAAATGTAGTCTATTTATAGGGTAAATTGAAAAAAATAGTTGTTGGAGGTCAAACTAGTCGTTGGAGAGAATTTGGGGGTATGAAAGTGTAATTTTTTTATTCAAACATACCAAAAAGCCCCATAGCCGAGCGGTCCGCGCATCGTATACATGGCTCCTATCAACGCCCTTTCTGTGTGCGAGTGAGACACACTCACCATCTCAGGCACTTCTAGCAGGAGGAACGTGGGCGATGGGGGAGAGGGTGGGATCTTGGCTCCCCTTGTCTTGTACTGCCAAGAATAGCTCCAAAATCCATTTTTTGGACATTTTGGCTCTTTTCATGACTTATTAGAAGAATAATAGAAATAGACTTTGACACTTTCACTCCTTATTGAATATTACCATATTGTTTTAATTGCTTCAAATTAACCTTAGGCCAAATCTCATGGACCAGCCTAATCTTGTCTATGTGTGTTCGTTTTGCTGGTGACCCCATTCCGCTTTTGGCAAACAGCGAGTCGAAACTTGTATATCCTTTTCATGACTTAATTAATGATCTAGGTCATTTTGTTCGTACTTCGTAGGATAAGGGATGACAAAAATATCTGAAACCGTAGATATCCGCTCGAATCCGATCTGATTGGGTAAGGTAAAACCCGAAACCTAACGATTTCCAGTTGTTACGGGTAAAAACACGAACCCGAATATTGCGGTTCATGGACGGGCATGCTTTTCTCACTATCCAACTCGAACCCGCCCGATTATGCACTTGCATATATATTTTGTCTAGAAATGATCATTATTTTTCTCAACGTATTTTATATTTAGCATACAAATGTAATATTTTCATGTAATTGTGTTGTTTGAAATTAATTTTCTTCATTCTAGTGAATTATTATCGTACTTTTCCACTTACGTAATGTGAGTGTATGTGTGAATGTTATCATTTTGATTGGAGTTATAAAGGGAAATTATTATACATGGATAACCCTGGATACCCGAAACTCGAACGAGTTGAGAGTTTTGATTTTCTACTCAATTCTTGTATAGGTATAAAACGAACAACTTTGAGTAGAGAATGGATATGCACTGTACGGCCCGACCCAATCCGTTGTCATCCAATTGTTCATAGTTGCTCATTTAATGATAAGAAACGCTGTGACCACTGATCAGTGAATGTGAATCGGTGCATTTGATTTTTTATTTTTGTAATCATGTTGTATTTATACTGCTTCTGGGCCACTAACCCAATGGACCTGGGCCTAACAGCGGTAAGAAAACCCGGCCTAACCGCTCTGGTCTATTGAAGCTTTCATCTACTACTAGGTATGCCCTTTTTCTCCCTTCCCAAATTTCGGCAGAGGTTTTGGTAGGGTTTTGATAAGCGCCATTAGCATTCGCCCCTCTTCGCATCTTTGCTCGTTCTGGTAAATTCCTATCTACGCCTTACCCATTTGATTCGTTCCTAAATCCATTGTTGGTTGATTCGAAGGAATCTCGAGTAGCTTGATTTCACGATTCTGACTTCTGTTGTTAAAAAAGTTCAGCTTTCCCCAGCTAAATCAATGGCGAAGAAACGGAAGCATAGTGAAACAGCCGTGGCAGCACCTCAAAAGAAAGAGGAAGTTGCTCCCGAGCGACCCAAAAGAACCCTTCTTGGTTGGAAAGACAAAGAGGCTGCTGCGGTTGCTGCTCCTGCCGAAGACAAAGACGATGAAGTTCATCAGCCTACGAATTTTAGGAATAAAGAAAAGGTCTTGGTCACTTGCTCCCGTCGAATCGCTTACAGGTTGATAGCTTAATTGATTGAGGATTTTTTTTTCGTTTTCATTTGATTTCGGATTCTGGATACTCGAATACGTGGTCAGATTCTCGGTTTAACGATGCCCATATGGTGGTAGGTACCGGCACCTGATGTTGAACGTGGTTTCCCTGCTTCCCCATTGTAAGAAAGATAATAAGGTTGAATCCCAAAGCAGCAAAGGAGTTGCACTCAGTGAGATGGTTGAGCTGAAGAGCTGCTCTTCCTGTTTGTTCTTTGAGGTATAACATTTCTTCATTTCTCGTCATTGTTGTTTCTTAGCTAGGAATTTGGAAGTTCATCAATGGGGTAAATATGATTAGGTTCGGCAGCTTGGGTTGCTAAGATATGGGATTTAAGTTGCAATTTCTTTTGCGTTATCATATGAGCTTATTTCCATCGTTTGTTTACTGTAGTGCAGGAAGCACAAAGATTTGTATCTTTGGATGGCAAAGTGCCCTAGTGGACCATCTGTGAAATTCCTAGTTAATGCAGGTAACTATAATCGTCACTGGTTTCTGTATGCCTTGATTCATTTTCAGTAGTGTTCTTGTATTGGGTCTACTGCTTTAGATTTCTCTTGCTAAACGAATGGTTTTCGTTTGATAGTGCACACTATGGAAGAGCTGAAGCTTACTGGGAATCATCTAAAAGGATCACGGCCACTTTTAACTTTCTCAGCCAATTTTGACAAAGATGCCCACTGGAAGCTTTTGAAGGAAATGATAACTCAGGTTTCAGTTTGTAAATTCTGTTCTTATTTTCTCAAAACGGAAGTGGATGAGGCAGTGTAATCTTGACATGTAATATTTTTGGTATGATTTTGGATCAGATATTTGGAGTCCCAAAAGAGCACAGGAAATCTAAGCCTTATCATGATCATGTCTTTGTCTTCTCCATTGTGGATGACCATATATGGTTCCGTAATTACCAGGTAAATTTTGCATCTGTTGCGTTAGAATTATTCCTGAAATGCACTTGTGAAATTCTTTTGTGAAAGAGTCTTGTAACTTACTCTAGTGAATTCACAGTTGAATAGTTGCCTTACCATATGACAAAATAGATTCTATCTAGCTCATGCCAGCTTTTCCCCCCAGAAACACAATGAATTTAGGAAAGCTGCTACTGGATATCTTAAACATATGGATTGAACGTATGTGGGTATCTCTTAGTAGTACCACCTTCTTTTGAAAGAAATATGGCAACTCTGTAGCGGCATGTGCAAGTTTCTGTCTGATTTCTGCGCTTCTGCATTTGTGAAACCATAAAATAGCAGGAGTTATGCTCGCTTGCCCTATTTATTGTGTATATGTTCTCACCATTTTTGCTATCTTGAGTTTGTTTCTTATTTAGACATTGATATTGTTGCTTACTCTGTAACCGCTTTTCTGTTAATTCAGATATCAGTTCCTCACAATGAATCCGATAAAATGGCTCGTGGAGGCCTGGACAAGATGACCCTTGTTGAGGTGGTTACTCCGATTCACATCTTAATTTTATTGGAATATGGAGCACTTATAGTCGAAGGTTCTTAACCTGCTACGTATGATCTTACACAGGTTGGTCCGAGATTCTGTTTGAACCCTATCAAGATCTTTGGTGGCAGTTTCGGGGGCCCAACCCTTTACGAGAATCCATTCTACATATCGCCCAACCAGGTCAGTGTTCATTTTCCTTGGTAAAAAGTGTTCTCTTGACAAGATATGAAGTTCGTGTAGACCGTAGTTCAGGATATCTGGGTTTGGTTGTCTCGATAACATGTATGATCTGAATAACCTTTCTCCCGATCTTGGGACACGTTTTCAGATACGGGCACTAGAGAAGCGGAAGACTGCTGGGAAATACGCCAAGAAGGTGAAAGCCAAGACCAGAAGGAAGGTGCATGAGTTGTCAAATCAGCTGGAGGCAGGCGAGTTTTCTGAGATGTGGAAGGACCAGTAAGTACTTGGTCTTTGATGAGAGCTTTTTTGACGGCATCTGTATTTATATCACCACAACTTGTGTATTCAGCTTGACATGGCTTATGAGTGAGTTATCAGCTCAAACTATATTCAGCTATATTTATCTCTTAAGCAACTTGGAGTCCACTTGCTATTCCTGCACCACTCGTTATTCCCTTCCACTGAAACTTAGGAAGATTCAGGTGCTCGGTGAGTGATGGCTTGATGTTAGAAGTCTTGTTAGGGCAATCAGATTAGTCTCAATCGAACATTACATCCTAACATTGTACAAGTAAATCTATGTAACATGATTCGCTTGCCATCTGTCTCGATCAACTGAGCTGTCATGGTTGAAGGTCCAGAGTTTGGAGTGGAATAATGTCCATCAACTTGCTTTGATTGGTTAAAGATCAGATTAGCAACGTATGCACCATATTGGAGGGCAAGAAGTGCTTCGGCTAAAATGGAGGTTCTTAGGAGTCGCGCTTTGTCTCGACAACATGCTAGCGCAATCATACTAAAGTGTATATGAATCTCATTTGTGTATCTGATCTCTAATGTTCACGATGACTCCCAAGAAGGCAAGAATGAAATCCAAAACTGATCATGGCGGGTGGGGGAAAATCCCAATAGCTCTCTTCTCTTTTTGGTTTTGCCAGTGTGCGCCGTATGTTCCAAAAACGGAATCCCACGCCACCAAGTAGGGATGGCAATTTTGACCTGACCCGTGTTACCCAACCTGTTTGACTTGTTTTGGGGCGGGGCGGGCATGGGTAGTCTCATCGACCCGACCTGCCCTGACCCGCCCCATTCTCGACCCGTTCTTGTCTAATTTACATGTAATCTTAGTCAAATTACTTAGTATTTTTCTTTTATTGCATCATATTTTAGCTATAAGAAAGTTGTAAATTAGTAAAAACCTCAATTTCTCCAATAATTTAACTGCAATTGTCATAATATTGTTTGTTTTCTTAGTCTTATAATAAAAAAAACGAATATTTCTAATGTTTTTAATATAAATTGCATACCCATTGGGTCGACCTGCCCCGACCTGCGACCCGTGATCAATTACCCGACCTGGACCCGACCTGCCACGGGGCGGGTCTGGGTACCAAGAAACCCGCCCCGGACCTGCCCCATTGCCATTCCTACCACCAAGGACAGTTTGGCGGGTTAGCTCTTTTTCCACCGTAGGGCCTCCTTCATTGGGAGTGTGCAAATTGCAATAGGCCTCTCGCTTAGGGATGGCAATGGGTCGGCTTGGGGCGGGTTTTGCCAAACCCGAACCCAAACCCATGGATTTGTCCGTCAAAAAAACCCGGGGTAAAACCCGCTGGGTTTGAAAAACTCAAACCCAACCCAACCCAACCCGCTGGGTATCCGCGGGTTGATGGGTTACCCGTGGGTTTTTTTGGTTAAATATTTATAAAATAATAATTAACAAGAAACTATTAAAATAAAAATCAAGCATAAATCTCACCATACAAACTATCCATACATAAAACATCGTTCTAGAAAATTCAAGCAAATCACACACTATCCATACAAATTGTTCACTCCAATCTAAAAAATTCAAAGTCACATTATCAATACACGACATGATTAATTAAAGTTTCCTCCTCCTTGAGAACTTGAACATTGTCATCTTAGCTTCACTCTCAGCTCCATAACTTCGACTTCATTCTACAGAATTAGATAGACCAAAATTAAAAATGTCTCCACAAACAAAAGAAAGATGGATGTTTTAAAGAAGATAATTATAATATTAAATATACCGGTAACACATGAAGCACAATCGGGATCTAGGTCATCATTAACAGTGGCATAAGTCATGAGCTTATTAATTGTTTCCAAGCCATCTGCAAATAGGATAGCAAGTTAGCAAATAATGGTAACCAACAATATCATAACTCAAAACATGTATTAAAGTTCATATGTGAAATCAAACAATCAAAGGTTATCAAGCTACCTGGAATGGTTGAATTGAGCAACCAGTTTTGAGCACACATTAGAACCTCAACAGTTTCCGGGAGAAGTCTACTGCGACTAGGGCTAACTAGTCTTCCACCGACACTAAAAGCAGACTCAGAAGCCACAGTAGTCATTGGAATTGCAAGTATGTCTCTAGCAATCAATGCTAAAGTCGGATACTTTGACTCATTTTCCTTCCACCACAATAAAATGTCAAATCCAGCTGTCTTGGGCAAGACTTTCTCCTTGAGGTAGCCATCCAACTCAGTTTCAACATCTACATAGCTAGTAGTCAACGATGCTACATACCTATCATATGCTGTCATTCTTCCTCCACCTTGACTAATCGAACTCCCATCATGAGACGGATTTCCTTCTTGACTCCCATCCACATTTAACTTCTTATAATCCTTCTCCAATTCAACCAACAATTGTCGAACACTCTCAATACATGCCCTTGATTCAACGCCATAGATATCTGGAAAATAACACTCCAACAAGGTAAACTTATACCTTGGATCAAATACAGCAGCAATAGCTAAAACATCATGAATAGTACTCCAATACTTCTCAAATTTTGTCATCATGCTTTTGGCCATATCTCTAATGAAAGCATCATCATCCAACATCCAATTAGAGATGCCCACCTTTATGTCGCACACCTTTTCAAAGAACAAATTCAAAGTTGGGTATTTAGCCGCTGAAAACAGCTTAGTCACATCATAAAACAACTCCAACTTGTCACAAACCTTCCTTGCAAACTCCCAATCAGACTCACTAGGTAAAGTCTTGTAATCCTTATCCATTTGCTTCAGACGAGGAAATACAATCTTATACTTCAAAGCAGAATGAAGCATAAAAAAGGTAGAGTTCCACCTAGTTGGGCAATCCAAGGACAAACTTTTACCATAAGAAATTTTCAATTGTTTTGCAACTATTTCAAACTTCTCTTTCCTTTTAGGAGTTGCTGTCCAGAATTGCACACTATCACGAATGCGCTCTACACTTCACTTTATCACATCCAATCCATCCTTGATAATCAAGTTAAGAATATGAGCACAACAACGCATGTGAATTTTAGCCCCAGACCACATCAAACGCTCAGGATTCAACTTATACTTGACCAAGTCAATCAATGCATCATTCGTACTACAATTATCTAGAGTAATTGCAGACAACTTCGTATCAACATTCCACTCATACAAAGTTTCGATAAGAACCTGAGCAAGTGCTTCACTAGTATGCGGGCAAGGTACATATATGAACCTACAATCAAAATATAACAACAAACTAAAGGTTAGATGCTGCAAGAACAAAAACCCAAGCATGAAAAGGCCAAAAATAGGTGCTGCCAGCACACTAAAATCACATAAAACAATCCAAAAAAGCACACAAAACAGTCCAAAAATCACTAATTAATAAGCAATGATTAAAGAGGATTAAATACCTAAGAATGTAGCTCCGCATTGTCCAAGAAGCATCAATGAAATGGGCAGTCACCACCATAAATCCCTTCTTTTGATTAGTAGCAGTCCACATATCGCTAGTAATCGCTATCCTACTCGAATTCTCCTCTATCATACTCATAAGCATCTTCTTCTCAACCTCAAAGATCTTGAAAATGTCACTCTTCAATGTATTTCGACAAGGGCACTTGAATAAAGGTTGAATGATGAAGAGAAATTTTCTAAAACCAATATGCTCAACAATAGAGAGAGGGTACTCATGTAATATAATCATGGAAGCTAAAGCACGCCTCCCTTCTTCCTCATCAAATCTGTTGCCACTTGCTTTGCTAACATCTCCTTTCAAATTCTTTGTCAAAAGCATTTGGTTAAGATCTTTGCATTTTTTCCTCGGACATGTATGTAGAATATGCTGGCGCAAATGACTGGTCTCGTTATTAGTAGAAGCAGATAAGAGCTTCTTACATCGTATGCATTCAGCTCTAAGAATCCCATTCTTCAAAATTCTGTTGAAATGCGGCCAAACATTTCTTTTAAGCCCACTTGTATCAAGAACATTAACCTCATCAGATCTTGTTGGTTGTCCACTATCCATTACACCAGTATGTGCTGCAGCTGCAGCAGCACCATTACCACTCTCACTAGTGGGATTAGGAAGTTGGGACTGAGATCCCGCATTAGGTGTAGAAGTAGTTCCAATAGTCTCATCACCTCCACTAACAATTGGAGTTCCGGCTTCGGAGGCATTTGAAGCCATATCAAGCACCTTCACAAAGCAAAATCATAGTGAATTGAGTGACAGTTTCAACTTCCCAACATCATAGAAAAAAATATGCAACACATCCAAAATACCAAATCTCATATCTAATAGCACATCAAAAACAACAATGGTGAGTCAAACCAGAGAACGTTATTACATTCATTTTCTTTCAATTCTATTTGAAAATGTTTTCTGTATAAATTCTTTTAGGAGATCTATCTCCTTCCAGGGCCTCCGCCCTCTCCGTTTACCTTCCACCATCGCCAGAACAACCTCCCTCCCAAGCCTAACCACCTCATATTTAACAGACAACCATCCTTCCATGCTTGATTCCTGCTAATTTCTTCTCCACCAATCTTACCGTCATTATCTGCAGGCTGTTCATCACTGTTCTTCTTCTTCCTCCTCCATATCAGCAACACAGCAATGTTCATCGACACCAGTACCCACACTACGCATAGCAAGAACCTCCAGTTCAGCCAGTTGCTGGCCGCCGCGGTCGCCGCCATCGTCACCAATTTAAAGCAATTTGCGCAAAGGGACTTTCTTTAAACAAAAGATAAATTGTTTCTTGCTATGGGGGCATATATCCCTCAGTGTATAGTGTGTAGGGTATTTATGAAACCGGCCAAGGAGGCTTAGATTCTTACAAAGGAAAGGAATAAGAGAGACGCAGACAGCCGTGTTGAAGAAGAGGTGAGTGGCGCCGGTGGATTGGACGACTTGAAGAAGAGTTGAGTGGCACCAGCGGGGAACCCTTCCCGCTTGAGGGCGACTCTGTAGTCTGTACCTGGTGGCGACTGGCGTGTCTGAGTGTCTGGCGGCGGAGTCGACGACTAGCGTGTCTCAGTGTCGGGGCAGAGGAGCAGGGAGAGCCGGAGAGGGCGCGGCCGGTAATGGTGTCGGAGAGGAGGAGCCGGAGCAAAGAGCAGGGAGAGGGCGGCCGTCGGATTGGGAGTCGGGACTGGAGATGGAGAAGAGGAGTCGCGGTGCCGTTCTCGCCGGAGAGGAAGAGGAGTCGCACTATCGCAGAGAGGAAGAGAGGAGTCGCGTGGAGAGGAAGAGAGGAGTCGCGCCGATTAGGGATTGTGAATTTGTGATCTGCGATTGGGGTGGGAAGGGAATTAGGAAAGTGGGCTGGGGAGTGGGGGTCTGGGCTGGGGGACTGGTAATTTTGATTTGTAGGGTTATGTCCGGGTATCCACGGGTCGGGTTCCCCCAAACCCGAACCCACCCCAACCTGCCCAACCAGCCACCGGGTTTAAACCCGAACCCGATCAACACGGGTTTTACCAGGTTTGACCGGGTTGGGTCGGGTCGGGTCGGGTACTCACGGGTCCGGGTTGAACTGCCATCCCTACTCTCGCTCTGTCCGGTTCGGCCGGATTTGGGCCATCATTCTGGGTTGATGGGAACCAACCGGACACCCTAATTGCACTAGTTCTTAGAAAATAAATTACTACAAGCAGTAGTTCTTATAAAATTTTCCAAAGTACATATGTTTTGAACAAATTGCTTGTGACAAAAGCGATAGTGATTAACGCGATTGAAAGTAAATAGTTTTGAACAAAAACGAATAATTTGATCGTCTCTGAGTAAAGCGATCATATGTTGCTGGTCAATTTTCATTTTCATCCCTACAAGGAAGGACAAAGAAAAGGGTTACACTTGTAAAGGGAAAGTTTTGTGAAGAGCAGTCAGCCAGTCATGATAGATATCCTTAATAGGGTTAGTGTTTGGTTTCAGCTCAACCTTCCACTTATGACAAATCGAAAGCAGCCACAAATATTGTGCTTATCTCGATAAGGAAAAAAGGAACGATTCCCTCCCTTTTTTTTGGGAGAATGCATGCAACCATTCCCAAATCCAAACTTCGAATTCAAACACTTGCCCATCTCCAATTTGATCACCCTAAAGTTTGCTGCGGGCTGGAACAAATGATTAGGTGCATGAGATGAAATCTGGGCGACCGATGGATCGATGCCGTACTCCAGCGTCTTTACTTTACGGGGGAAATCTTCGTAGCAAAGATCTCACGCACAAAAAGAGGCAAACCATGATTCAATGTTCAATTATATTGTGCGCTGTTTTGTTTTATAGGTCCACGTCCAAACTCTAGGCTCGCACTTCATAGAGTAGCCGTAGGGCTCCATGAAAGATTCCTCTAGAAGTTGTGTTGTTTGACCCGTTTTGATCTTGATCTTGTGAGAAAAACAGGCATACACGTCCAGCTGGGTCAATCTCTTGCAAGGTTAACGGGTTAGAGGTTGCACGGTGTCGTTTTTTCTTTGGTTTACGAAATGCGTCTATTTTTCGGTTTTCCTCTTCGTTCTACTCTATCTTTGAAATTCTAACTTGAACATTTGAATATTTATATTATATAAGTGTGTGAATTTTCAATAAATGTTGCTCGACTGGGCCAACGGGATATAGCGGGTTGACAACCCTTAGTATCTCATCAGATTTGACATTGTAGCCCAATCAAATAAATATTCGCTCCATTGAGTGCTATAATAACAAAGCTCCAAATTTTCACTTGGCTCATAATCTAGTTTCATGAAGATTTCATTATTTTGAATAAATAATTAGTTTATTATTTTTATATAGATAGCAATAATTAATTAAAACGAACATTTCAATATATATTTTTTTAATTTGGATATAATTTTTTGTCATCAAATATGATCTATGACGAGTACACAATAAATGGTGGATCATTTGATGAAGTTGGTGTGCCAGTTGGGTTAGGTCGACAAACAGGCATGTAATTTAGAAAATTATTTGAAACATTGATCTATTTACTAATAATTCAGGAAACAAACTATGACATGATAGATGTAGTTAAATTATTTAAGATTTTTCGTTCACATATTTACAACTTTATCATAGCCCAAATATGATGTAATAAATCAAAACTCTAAGTAATTTGAGTAATATTACATATAATTTAGTTAATACGATCGACCATAGAACGTGAGGTCGAGGAAAGTACCCATCACATCCCAAAATAGGCCAAACGGATCAAGTAAAACATGGTCAAAATCGAAAAATGTCATCCAATCCAACGGCTCACTCCTCGCATGCCGACCAATCCAAGAGGATTCTGTAGCCTACATGCCGACCAATCCAACGACTCGCTCCTCGCATCAATTTCATCACACACAATCTCTCCAGCGCAACATGACCAACTCATTCGCCGGGATTTCAACACGTGTCATGTCCAGCTTGGCTTTATCGCTACCCTACGCATGTGACGTCCATTTTCACAGATGTGATGTCACGTCAATGAAAGGGCCGGAGCCCGGCGTCGTACCGGCTTCAGAACGATTCTGGAACCCTGAAGCAATGAGACGCTGCTGCGATGTGACGCGTTTTATACTCATAATACTTTGCATAGCCACTCAAGAGTTAACGTTCATTCCTTTTAAACTCATAAAATATAAAGCTCAATATTACTCATATAATATATATTTGTATATGTAAAATGTAGACCATAACATATGGACGCCTAATTTAGATAAATTTCATACATTATGATGGATGAAAACCTGAAAGGAAGGTCATTTTCAGCCTATGATAATTGCTAAGAGACTAGGGGTCGTTTGGATGGATCAATTGTAAAACGAGACAATTTGACCAATTGTTTCATTTTGCAAAAGGAGTCATTTAAAACGAGTCAATTCAGATTACCTGCCCCCACCCCAGACAATTGTAATTGGCTCAAAATGAGTCAATTCAGAATTACCTAGCCCAAATTGCTTCATCCAAATTTTCTGCTGCCAAACGGATCAATCTAGCACAATTGACTCAAAACGAGACAATTGTGTCAGATTGATCCATTAGAATTGTTGGGTATGCGACTCGGACCCCGCTGCGCCAGAGAAGCACTGAGAGCGTCCAAGTAAAGGAGCGCATTATCATTGACGCGACCAGGAAAACACACCGGAAAGCGTATTCACCAAGAGCGCCATGCACATCAGCACCCACGCGATCAAAGAGGCCGAGTACCAAACGACGACGTCCGAGCGCGGCGCTGACCAAGCTAGCAAGTGTGGAAAATGACGCCGCGTCTCGTCCATCAAGTGGTCACATCACAATCCTAGCACTAGTCCTAGGTATAATAAAAGGCTAGATGTACTTGTCCTAGGTAGAGGCATGGTCTAGTCTTCTGACATGTCAGTGGTCATGTCACCATGTCCCTCACCCACCACCATGTAGCCTATAAATAGAGCATTTACTCCGGTGGGTGAGGGGATCGGATTTTTCTGACTCTATCTCTAATATTATCAACTTCTCTCTCTAAAATACTTCCCTCTCAACTCTATTCGTAATTTCCTAAGTTCTTCCATCAACGATTATTCTCCCATTGCTTATTCTCCTTGACCCATCTTCACGAGTCTCACTCCTACACCCAGTTAGGCTCAAACAATTGGCGCCCACCGTGGGGCCAAGTAGAGAAGCAAAAGAAAAACAACCAATGGCTGAACACAATCCCAACTTGCCAGATGAAGCGACACCCATCAAAGCAATGACCGACCCAAGGACGTTCGCAGAAACCAGCAACCTCAGCGCGGTGCTTATCGAAGAAGAAGAACCCGATATGACCGCCAAAGAAATGAGGCAGCTAATGGCGAAGCAGAACAACGTCATAGCCGATATGCAAAAGCAAATGAGCCAAGTCATAGCGCTCATGATGAGCAAAGAGGCCGCAATAACAGTGGAGGGGCAACAAGCGCGCCACCACCCGCACTGCCGCCAGTTGAGGTGACAACAAGCGCGCCACTACTCGCGCCACTACTCGCGCCGAAAAAATTCCCTGCGTGCGAAGCGCAACAAGCTGAGCTGCCGGGTAGAGCAGACCTCAGTTTTCTGGAGCAACACTTGTCTCCGCAATACCGACCCAACCCACCCAAGAGGGCGCTCCACCAGCCGCTAAGCGCGGAAATCATGGCGGAACACCTGAGCGGAATGCCACCCGCCCTCCCAACATACAACGGGACGACTGATCCCGAAGACCATGTGAGCACTTTCTGCCTGCGGATGCAACTCCAAACCAACTCCAACGCGGCACTATGACGAACCTTCCCATCAACATTCTCCGGAATATGCCTCGATTGGTATAACAGGCTCCCGAACGGGATCATCCGCTCATTCGAGGAGTTCATACTCCTATTCACGACGAAGTTCGCATCCCAAAAGAGAAGACCTCTCCATCTCAAGGCGCTGATAGACATCAGGCAAAAGGATGGGGAAAGCCTGCGATCATTTTACGCCAGATGGTCCAGGGTGGCGATGGCAGTGCGCGACCTTACCCCCGAAACCGCCGCCCATCACCTTATGGAAGCCACCACCAACATGGAACTAAAGCGGGCGCTAGCAAAAAGGCCCGTAACACTATCTACAGAGTTGGAGATGAAGATTGAGAAGGCAATTACGCTGGAAGAAACCCTCGGAGCGGGATCTGTTAGGCACTTCGAGCCAGCCAAATTGCCGCGAGAGGAGCAGGGACGTCGGTAGCTCACGCTGCCGCGAGATCAATTGGTGCAACTACACAGCGGGCAAAAGCGCCATCCCCCTCCCCCACAAGAACCAGCTCAGCGGGGAAGATCACCAGACAGGCGCGCACCCCACGCCTTCACACCGCTCAACGACTCCGTGAAGAACGTATTCCACGTTCTCCGCGAGAAGGGTACAAGCTCAATTGGCCCGCGCCTTTGAAGTTATTATCCCACATGCGTGACCCAAAAAAGCATTGCGACTTTCATAGAGAAACGGGGCACTGGACAGAAGATTGCCGAGAGCTACTGATATTCGGCTTTAATATATCGGATTCTGGGACTTTATGTGATTATCCGTGGTATGTTTTAGCCAATTGGTGCTATTTTAGGGCTCGCTAACCCGAGAATGGTTGAAAAAACCATTACTGCCTAGTGCCATGAGTTTGATGTATTACAGGTGAAGAAAACACGACAATGAAGTTGCACCGGCAAACAATTCTCGAATGCTGGGCTTAAAGCCCAGCTGAAAGGGGATTAATGACATGGGCCAGGGGGATTGGCGGAACCCGAAAGGAAGAAGAATTGGGCCGGCCAAAAATTGG